TTCAGATATCAACCTCAATATTTGAAGTCAACAAAATGGCTGGTGAAAGGCGCTTGCGGTGTTTTAAAATTCATGGAGAGATCCGAAAGGAAAGGCTGTGGTTCGATTTTTACCAGGACGAAAACCGAATGATCGGCAAACAGGTTAGGCGAAAGTGTATTGCTCTTGCAACGTTCAACAACCACCTGGAACGATGCACGTTGATCTACTTGGAATAAATATGACGTTCCTAAAATCGTGAAATACGTGACCTGATTTTTATTGTTACCTACGCAATTTGAAAGGTTTTGTAGATTTTCTTTTGGCTATGTTGTCTTTGTCAATTTAGTTTGTGTATTCGTGTGGTGTACGCCAGGGTTTTTGTTCCGAAGAAGGTTTCCCTGACATCGCCTGGTTATGTGTCTGAATATTTTTTATGTTCTCGTGTTTTCTTACACACAAAATTTCCTTTTCCATTTCCATATAATAAAAACCGCCAGTTTTAACACCGACTGCTACCCAGATTCAAAAGTTTCAAATGTGCAACAAGAAATTAGGGTGGTGATAAAAACACAGATCAATATTAATACCTACTGATCCCTTAATACGTCACCTGAACCTTTTTTATGCTAATTATTGTTGGTATTCGAGCGGTGAAAGTTTCCAGAATACTCCCCAGTTTTAAAAACAGGCGATCTGTAAAAATCAAGTAGCTTATGCGTTTTTTTTCAAATCCCGAATATATCGGTAGGCTTGCAAGATTCGAAAACCCAATCTGACTAATTAAATAATCTTAATACTGATTAATCCAAAAGCAATTAAGACGATTGAGTGCACCCTTCACAAAAAATAGGATTAAAACGGTCAAATGTCCCCTAAATTGTTACACTTATCTAATTTTGTCAAGTATTTGACCCCGTTTCCCAGGACCTTTTAGAAAATTAAATAATGAATTAATGTAACTCCTGATTTCCCGCAACCCAAACAGCTGCAGGACTAAAATTTTGAAAGCTACCAAGAAAAAATGTTGCAACTCTCCCTTGACTAAAGGAAATTTTCCCAAACATTCACAACGAAAAACCACTAATTGTAACCCTACGCCAGCAAACCGCCATGTTTACATTTCCAAAAAAACTCTCCTAATTCCCCTTGTAAACACATCCCCCGCATACCTACACTGCACCCTAAGAAACCCCTCCCAACCGAAAAGAATAAGGAAAAAAATAGAAGGGCTCTGGCGTTCGAGCAAGGGTCGAGCAAGAAAGAATGAACGTTCCCCTTATCAGGACTACCCAACGTCCTCTCCAACCTCCCCTAGTGTTAAAGTTCGCAGCTCAAGTTACATCCCTTAAAATTCTCGACCCAGAACCTTATAATAATGTACTACTGACCTCAAGAGAACCTAATCCTAATCTACCCTTACTATCTTAACTTATGTTAATCCTGACTTTTATCTATATTACTAATCGTCGTCTCCTAAATTGTTTTGCAACTTAAGATCTTTCGCATACCAACAACCCTGGAATCTGCCATTTTTATCCACTAACTCAAATGTCATAGGCGAAAGCTTTTTGATTCTGTTTCTCATGACCTCTTGTGGAGAAAGCTGCACACCTTTGGATTTTCATCCACAGTGATTTCGGTGATTAAAGTGCTCTACGAGAATGCTAACTTCAAAATTAATAGTAACAACGAGCTAACTAAGGAATTTCCAGTCTCAGTAGGCGTTCTTCAGGGCGAACCTTTAAGCCCTTTGTTATTTTCCGCTTTTTTATCAGACTTCGAAATATTTTTTAGAAACAAAAACTTGTCAGGGGTAAATATTGATGGTATTTCTGATATTCTAGCCTTACTTTATTGTGACGATGCCGTCGTTCTTTCCGACACGGAGTCGGGTCTAAAAAGAAAACTAACTGCACTTGAGGAATACACGACCTTAAACCAACTTACCGTTAATCGCAAAAAGACAAAAGTCTTAATTTTCTCTCGGGGTGGCAGTGAACCAATTAATCAAAACTTCTTTTTTCATAACGAAAAAATTGAAACTTGTAGAAAATATGTTTACTTAGGAGTCTCGTTTACGTCTTCAACTTTTTTCAGAACAATGGCAGAAGACACGGTCTTAAAAGCAAAGCAAGCTTCAGGGATGGTCAGGGGAATTATTGCTAAATCAAACAGGACCAGATGGTCGGCAAAAATGTCCCTATATAATTCATTAATACTTGGGGTACTACTAAATAACTCCCCAATTTGGGGTATTCGCTACTTAGACATCCTTGAACGCGTTCAAATAGAGTTCTTTAAAAAGTTGTTTCTTTTACCAGCTAACACTCCGGACAGTATCGTACGCCTGGAATTCGGAATAACAAACCTTTCATTTATTATTTTCAAACTATCTATAACCTGGTTAATTAAACTTTTAACAATGAGTAGGGTCAGATTTCCTCACATCTGTTTTAGGCGACAGCTCGCTCTTTTAGATAGCGCCGATCCTCGATACAACTGGGTACGACAAATGAAAGATCTTTTTGCTAAGTTCAACTGTTCCGAACAGTTCATTCCTTCATTAGCTTCACCATTCCACCTTAAGAAAAATAAAAGTAAATTGTTAGATAACTCATTAACAACATGCATCCAACAAGATCTTTTATTTGTTGCCACGTCAGCTTTTCCCCTTTTTTACAACAAATTTGTAAATCCTGGCATATCAAAAAACTATTTACTTTTTAACAATTTAGCTTTCAAATATATTAAATTTATGTGCCAAATTAGGACCTCAAATATACGAAGGTTTAAAGCAACTTTTGATGGTGTTACTTACAGAATAGATCTTACAGACATATGCAGTATCTGTAACAGTAATTCAATACAATCTTTCCAGCATGTATTCTTTGAGTGCGTGCCACTTCGACAGGGTCTAACCTTGGATACGGAAATTGTTAGTAACTGTGAAAACCTTTTATATTTTCTTAATGATATATCAAAAGATAATGTGAAAGCTGTAGTCCATTACTTTTTAAATATTCTTCGCTTGAGAAGCTTTATTTTAAATGAATGATCAAATTTTCTTTTTTCAAATTTTATAATCATATTAATTATTAATAACTAATTGCTAGGTTACATTTATTTTGTGGCATTTATAATGAAGCTAATTAGTATTATTATTATTTTTTGTTAGGTATAATAAGCAAAAACTTAACTCAGTTGCTATAAGTATACTTTGTACTTCAAAAGCAATAAAGTTCTATCTATCTATCTATCTATCTATCTTTTGTTTATTTTGAAGGGACCTACATATATCGGTGGCAATTTTACAGTATTGTATTTTGCAACGTTTGATTGAAATGATTTCTCCTCCAGACTAATTGTCCAATAAAATATTCAACTGGACACTTACGTAGGTTGTATGATTTCTTCATTTTTTCATATGCCGCCCGTAACTTAATATGTACATAATTTCTTAAAGAGCTACTTACCTTTTTATATTACTCCTACATCCCCTGTAATTTCGTTGTCAAGATCTGTCTTCTACGGCGACTGCCAATTTCTATGGTTCATCGTCCAAAACGACGTAAATAGGAGCAATGTGTTTGAATAATTTTCCACCTTCCACTGTTCATTCCCGGAAATTATCTCTCCCTTACGATGAATTACTTCATAGTCGTACTGTTATAATTTTACCGTCCATCTTGATAGTCTCCCGCAGCGATTGTTGAGCTAAATCAATGAATAGTGGTCTCTGATCCTCTGTGTATGGCCTAAATTTCTCGACAGCTCAAAGTACGACAAGAGAATCTAACTAGGTGGCTGTGTATTTTCGCTCGGCTTTTAATAAAGATTTACTTATCCAACGGATGATCTTATTTACCCTCAGGATATTCTTACGCTAGCACAGATCCAAAACCGTAACCTGATGCGTCAGTCTGGAGAATAAAAGTATTAAACATTCTTTTACACACTTCGCATTCTTCTGTCCGTTTGATCCCCTTCCGAAGTAACCATGTCAAAGGAACAATCAAGGAAGAAATGTTTGTCACAAATCGTTTGTACCATGGTGCCATCCCAACTATTCACCGCACTTCCTTCAGGGAATTGGAATTGTTAATATTATCTCCACCTTCCCTGTAACCCCTTTCTCCCCACAATATACCCCAGATATTTTAATTCACATTTCATGAACTGACATTTTTCACTTTTTGGGGTAACCGTGCTTCGGTTACTTTGCTTAATACGACCTTAGAATTTCTATAGGTACTTATGCTTTTCAAAAGTATTGGTAGCACATCGGGATTTAGTTCTGGTGTCAACGAATCTCTGCCAAGTATACTAAGTGCATTATGTAACCCAAAAGGTAACCGATAAAATGATACAGTCCTGGATTATGTACAATAAACGCGCTGTATTTTTTTTTACTCTTCAGCCATGGGCATCTGCCAGTACACCGAATGAATATCAATGGTCGGTGAATGGTGTGCATCACGGAGTCAGTCTAGGATATCTGACACGTTAGGCAACGGATAAGCGTCGCGCTCAGTAACCGCATTAAGTTTCCGATAATCCACGCAGAATCGGCAAGTCCCACCAGTTTTTTTAACCCGTAGAATCGGTTATGCCCAAGGTGAGTTCAAAGATTCGACACTGGAAAATATCGGTGTCGTTTCGGCTCCACAGAAGTTTTAATCCTGTGTTGGCGTACTACTAATCTTCTTGCAGACCTCATCATAAGTCTTTTAAGCTTGTATAAAAGAGGAAAAAGAAGTATCCTCTTTACTGTCGTGGGCAACCACGAAATATTCAAAGAACTATTCAAAAAGGGAGTGCTGCTTGAACGAGGATAAAGTATGGGAGCACTTATTACATCAAAGCCTATTCTACAGTTAGATTGTAGCGACAAAGAAAAGATGATACTTTAAATGGAGTGCGTAAATGAGTTGGAATAGGCTTTTGAATAAAAGTAAATGATTCCATTATCTTTAAGATAACCCCTTCCCGTTTGACATATAACATGCCTTATCGTTCCAACTCGCTGTAACTTCACGGGTAAACGCACTGGTTGGATTTTAGTGTATCAAACATGTTCACAATTTCTGGAAAAGTGGGTCTCGTAACCGGTGGCACTCAAGGAATTGGGGCGGCAATCTCAAAAGAGCTCTTACGGGCTGGTTTAAGGGTATGTAGTATTTCTTAATCTGGATTTTAGTTTCTTTTAGGGTATCGCTATTATAGGAAGAAGCGAAGACAAGGGAGCACGAATGGTGAAAGAACTAATTGAAGAGTTTGGCACAAACAGAGCAATATTCATCAAAGCTGACGTATCCATTAAAGAACAGTTTCATGGTATCCTTGACATGCGCAGTAACACTTATTTTTGCAATGTAATTTTAGAAGCGTTTAAAAAGTCGGTAGAAACATTCAAGAACATAGATATCGTTGTAAATAATGCTATGATATCGACAGCGGAATGGTGTACATCTATCGCAGTGAATTTGGTAAGCAAAATAATGTGTAAATCTGCAGCCATCCAGCTAGTATTTACAGACTGGAATGATCACAGGAACAGTGCTCGCGTACGAAAACTACCTACCAATGTACGCAACTGACCACAAAGGCGTTGTAATAAATATTTCGTCACCAGCCGGACTATACGGCGCTGCGCACTCTCCACATTACGCGGCCGCCAAGTCGGGCGGAATTGCTTTAACTCTGAGTATGGGTTGTGATCTACACTACAATCGGACAGGAATAAAAGTTATTGCGGTATGCCCAGGATATACAGGTACACCTGCCAGAGTGCCAGATAAAGAGCATTTCTTGGGACCCGCCTACTTTGAAGCCCTCAACCAAGTTCTGTCGAATCTTCGAGATCCACAACCGTAACTAAGTCACCTTCGATAAGTCATTGTCAAGCTGTAACTCATTTTACAGTTGCTCGGTCGTAGGAAAGGCGGTCGTTGATATCATAAGGAAAGGGCGGAGTGGATCCATTTGGATTGTGGACGAAAGCAAACCTCCGTATGAGGTAAAGCTTCAAGTTGTGAGGGAAGATCCAACACAATCCACAACACAATTCCAGAGAATTATTTAACACTTAACGTACTCCTAGGTAGAAAAATGTATCACAAGAGCTTTTATATTTTGGGTCGTAATTTTGGGTCGAAAGCTGACCATTTACACAAATTTACAAAAATTAAACGTTTAAGTGTAACAAAGAAAGGCATTCAGGGCCTGAGGACCAATACCACGCACATGCGATCGATTGAAACACATTTAATTAAACAACAATTTAACAATTTAATTAACAACTGATTATAACTGCGATGTTCTTTAGCAGACGCACAAAAAAGTACAAAGACTAACTGAATTGCGTTGGAATCTTCTTTACTTCATTTGATTCTTGATTTAAACGAAACTGGCTTTGTTTTAAAAGCGGCTTTTTGGTAATGGATAACTTTACTACATCGAGTAGTTGAGAAACCTTCGAGAAAGGCTTATCCGACAACTGATCGATAGACACAACAGTCGAACTGCTTATCTAATATCCGTATACGTAACATGACGCTTCATCTTAACTGGAATTAAAACATTAACTTTTATCACGACGAATTAAAATCTCTTAGAACATAGCACAAGAATTTTACAACCACCAAAACTGACTGTCTTTTACCAAATAACATTAATACCGTTTATTTCACGTTGATCTTCATTTATTAAGCGTTCTCCGAGTTTCACTTTTTATAGTGAGAATTTCTTGAACATCTTTTTTCTAACACTTGTCGATTTGGGTATTAGTAACACCAATTTTAAAATAATAACACTTGCATGAGAGACTTATTTGATTACGACCGTTAAATCATCTAGATTAAATCAAAAATTGACAATGCACACATTTTACAAATTAAATAATGCAAACAAAGCAGAGAGGTATGTATATTTGCATTCCGAAGATGGAAATGAAGTTTACTAAGTGAACCAAATATTTAAGATACTTTTAATAGAACTATATTACGAACAATGTTTATAGTAGTACCTCAAGTACCTTTCTGGTGTTTATTAGTTTAATTGTTTGAAAACGACTCGGCATCGCCAAGTACTTTATACCAGGTACTATTAGTGTCAAGTGCTTTCTCGATAGCCTCATGTGTTGGTGTTAATGAGGCAGCTGCTTCTGGTACATCTTGAATCTATTCTTTTCTATTATTGTATCTGCAATCTATTAAAACTGCGTTTGACATCTAACAAGAACTTGTTGAATGTAGACTTTATAAAGTGACCGTGGGATATTTAAACACTTCAATGAAGGCGTTTGGGGTAGCTTTTTCGGATCGGCGATGACCGCAAGCACGCGTACCCGGGCAAGACAATTTAGCACGCAGCGAATGTAAAACTTCCGCTAAGATATAAAGTTTTACAGCTTAAAATGATTCGGTGTGACAATAAACCAAAAAAATTTGTAATATTTAGATGTGATGCAATAAAAATGTATTTTGAAACAAATTTCTCGAAATCGCTTTATTGCTGATAATTACTTAAGAGGTACAGTTTTCCTTCTTTCTGAAAGTTGTCAAATAATTAAATATATTATTATAAGACAATATCGTTTATTTGTTGTAGCGAATATGATTTAATGGGGATTATTCGAAAATAGTTTCTTGGTGTAATTCACCATCAATACAAGAGACTAATAAAATGACCATAAATACAACATTTTCTCCTAATTTGCAACGCTCACTTATCACTAATAGTTCCTTTTTCCCTTTCACTTGCTCATTGACTTTATGCAGGTCCTTGCTCCTCAGTTGCTACGAATTGTGACGTATCAGTGGTTTGTGGTGGATGCAATGATTGCAGTAACCCTTTGGTTTTCGAATTTTCTGTATAATGGACCACCTGAAATTTACTTGACTCAATGGCAAACGTCTTCCATACAAAGTATAATAAGGTTAATTTTGATTTCTCTATGTAGAATAGGACCAGTCCAAAAGCAGGGGAAATCGTAACAGCGTAATCAATTGCGGGACCTCGGTATTATGGGATAGTTGACTAAAAATGATTTCAAATTGTACTAAGGTATCAGATGGAATTGCGAAAAATACCAAGCTTGTCCCAATCGGGTCTTTGTTTATCTGAAGCGTTAAAGGAACTAATTGAAAAAATTGCAAAAAAGGCGAATAGTTTTTCAGTTGCACTATATTATAGTCGGATGCCACAAAGTGAATATTGGCCACGTTGTTAAGTCCTCCATCTTAATTACACTGAAAATGGAAACATAAAAACACGTTTCTTTACGTCAATAAGAACTTTTAAGGTTGACACATAGTAAGTGATTATTTTTAAAGGCTAGAAAAGATAAATATTGCTATGTTGCTAAAAACTAATTTAATTTTCTGATTAAAAAGTCATCTGTGGTAGAATTTCACTAATAAAATTTTGAACCGTGCTGGAAATTAAGTCCGCCTTGTAGCGGTTTATTTTCTTCATTACAAAGCAGCCAATATTTACTTATTGAAACATCCTCGTAACAGTCGTAACCTTGAATGACGCAATTTTAGCGCGCATTTTTGCGGTGCTTCGATTAGTGGTTATCGATTGTTCACATTCATTTTCCTCATTCGTTTGTGAGCTCTGACAGAGTGCACTTCATTTTAATTAAACAACTGAGGCGTTAGTTTTGAAAACGCATGAATTTTAATTGTCGTCATCAATATGTTATAAATCTTTGGCGATTGAATTCTTAATTTGGGAATTCCGGTAATATTGTTTGGGCGGATTTACCCTTAACTCCTATATTGTGATAATATTGTAATTGCATGTTTTCTGGCTTATCGTAAGTATCCGCCATTTGCATTACATCTACAGTAACTTGAAGTGCATCTTTCTTTAGGTTCGGCTGATATCACTGTCCCATTGTAATTTCCATCGACGATTGTTACTGAAACTGAGCTCACTTGTCTGGATGACATCTAATTCACATTAAGGTAAACGTTGCCTTTTTATGTATTACCTGCATTTGATCTATAGGTATACGTGCGAATTTGTGTTCGGAACATTATTTGTGGAAACTTGTTTTAATATCTAGTCAATTTATTTAATCGAACATTCTTGATTGGAATTTTGTTAAACTGGGAGATTTCGCATGGAAAGTCAGCTTACTAAGATTTTTGTATGTGGCGTAATTTATAATTTTGAACGTTTGAATATTTGTGTATTACGCAATTACACTATCCCATTGCGGGACCATTTTTATTTGCATCTAATAGTGGCAATAAGGCAGAAGACCGTTTTATCCAGAACGAACTACCGCTGTGGAAGATTCTCAAGCTTTTATTTTGTGTTTAACTCTCTGAGCTAGTTGGCCGTCAGCACAAAGTTAAACTCATCGTGGAAACCCTTGAGTCAGCTTTTTCTGGGAAAAAAGAGAGGGGATTAATTACCGACCTTAGAACTAATCGGGATTGGTAGAACTAAAAACCTTAACTATTGGAAGTAATTAACAATCTAAATAACTATCTAAAGATTGAGTGGGAATTAGTGTTCGAAGATTCTCTAAGAGGATTCTCGGATTTGGCTTTGAGCGGACGGTTTCGGTCCCGAACAATTAAAAATATTCTCGAGTTATTTTACAAAAGCAGACATTTGCCCCCATAAAAAGTGATTTTCCCAGCGACATTATAGTAAAGAGATTTAAAAATTGATGGTGGCGGTCGCACTCAAAAATGACAAAAAAATGTTATCCTAAAAATATTATGTGAAATAATCTGAAATGTAATGTCTTCTTAGCGGCCCTGTATATGCTCGTACTTAATTTAGTTCAAGGTGTTCTGGTGAGTAGGGCACTAGATTTGCAAACGCAAGGACCCGAGTCAGATGCAGATATTTCAGGGGGTGATAGTACTCGTCAAAATAAGAAAAAAATGCAAATATATGCGTGGTTTAAAAGCAGTCGCCTTCGTTATACAGAATGGCAAAGAAAAATGTAACACCCTGTATACCGAGACCAACTATTTTGATGCTACCGGCATCAAGTTAGCCCTCCACTTTTTGAATTTTCAAAATATTTTTATTGTTAGAAACATCTGCATTGTAATCGTTTATTGAGGGTTGGTGGGTGGTAGTACGTACTATTAAAGATTAAGGATAGTCCCTACACTTCCTTATCCTTAATTATTTATGTAAATCATCTAAAATAAATCCCAAAGTTCTTGCTGTAGTCTATATTGTACAGATACAGACAAAAATACTTCATTTTTTTCTTCTTTGGTCACATTTAATGTCGCACGCATTCTTTTAAGGGTCTAGGATACTTCGCCGAATGCCCACAACGCCGACAAGATTTTTTTTATGGTCCGTACGCCGACGGACAGTATGTCGATTGTGCCCACATCACCGACAGGTGTACAAGAGGCACTAAGGCGAAAGTGACCACAAGGCACGCCGATCATGCCCACTTCGCTGAAGGAGACTACATACGCCGACAGTGCCCACATCATCGAAAACTGTACAAATCTTTGAATAATTTAATTACGATCAAACAACAAACGTGAAAATGTAACTAACAAACACCAACAAATAAGCAACAAACGATTGTAATAAAAATATTTTGAATATTCAAAAAGTGGGGGGCTAACTATACGCTTAAATTTTGAAATTTAAATAATTAGATAACGATCAACCAACAAACGTAAACATGTAACTAACAAACAAATGATCAACAAGCGATTGTAATAAAAATATTTTGAAATTTCAAAAAGCTGGAGGGGGGGGCTAATTATACGCCTCAATTTTGAAATTTGAATAATTTAATAACAATCAACCAACAAACGTGAAAATGTAACTAACAAACCCCAACAAACGATTGCGATAAGAATATTTTGAAAATTCAAAAAGCTAGAGGGGGCTAATTATACGCCCCAATTTTGAAATTTGAATAATTTAATAACAATCAACCAACAAACGTGAAAATGAACTAACAAACACCAACAAACGATTGCAATAAAAATATTTTGAAAATTCAAAAAGTGGGGGGCCAACTTGATTTTGATAGTTTTAATGCTCTATTGTAGAGATTCTAAAAAATAATTTTTATTTATTTGCCTTTATTTTTAAGTGATGTATCAAGTTTGAAACAATTATCACAGAACATAAGAGAGAAAACGCAAAATACGAGAAAAAATGGAAACTTTATCACCCTGTATAACGAAAATGACGCCCTTTAGACCACGTACATATTTGCATTTCTTATTTTAACGAGTGCTATCACCCTCTGTATCTTCGGAAATATTTGCATGACATTAATTAACACTGTATTTTAAAAACATGCTTGCCAAAAGTTCTCATTATGCAGACTTCAGCGAGGCGGGTGGAGGCGCAAATTATAGTGCTTGCTTACATGTAACTTTTACTTTGAGCTAGCCATGCTCCCCCTGCCACACTCATTAAATTAATGAAACGGAAAATAACAAAAAGCTTACTTTGTAATTAACGGAGTGGTAGCAAAAAGCAAAAGCTATAGATACGTTGCAGTAAACTTAAACAATCTGAATGCAAACATAAATTTACGGAAAAGCTCACTATTTAACGTACGAGTACTTATGACAAACAAAAGTGGCAAAAGGTCAATTAAATA